GAGATAAGATACCCATGTACATGGGTAATGTACAGAATTGTTCAGTCATGTTGTACACCAGTAGCTAATATATGTCAACTCTACTTCAATACTAAAGATGTTTAAAAATCATGGTGCAGAGTGGCGTGACCAAAGAGGGGCTCTTTGTGGAGGGGATGTTGAAGCTGATACCTAACAGGTGAGAATGAGCATCTTCTCAGGGGAGAATGGGTCTTTCAGGCAGAGACCAGCAAGTCCCAAGGAGGGACCAGGGTTGGCAAGTCCTGGGGACTGAAACGCCAGTGTCACCAGCTGGATGAGTACCCGCAGGAGGAGAGCAAAGGAACTTGGAGAGGGTGGCAGGAGTTTCAGCTTCATGTGGGAATGGAAGCTCCTGGAAGATTGTGAGCAAGTGACATGATCTGAGGGACACAATAAGAAGACATCTCTGGCTGTGGTGTGCAGAACTGACTGCAGTGGAAGTGGACGCAGAGAGATGCGGGAGGCGGCTGCAGCTGGGCGCGCAGAGCTTGGTTTAATCATGTGGGATGGGGAAGCGGCCGGTAACTTGCAAAGTTGTGTAGAAAGATCAGCAACTGTTACACGCCTAGCTCTTTCCCACTTGAGTACTCATGTGTGGTGTGATTCAAATAAGCCCATAAATACAAACAGTTGTAATGGGAAGCTGCTGGGGGAGTGCATTAGCCTAAATTTGGGGGATAAAAGTTTCAAATTCTGATTTCTTTATTACCTGGTAGCCTTGGTCAAGCGATTCTGTCTTTGTAGCCTTCATTTTTCTCTGTTAAGTGGAATGGTAAGAATACATATCTCATAAAGATGTCGTGAGGCTTCAGTGGGACAATCTAGGGACAGAATTTAGCCTCGTACCTCTCGGCACCCAAATTAGCGCTCAGTCATATTTGCTACTTACCAATCCTGCCCATCTTCACTTTCTTCTTCAGTAAAAGCTCATAAAAAGTTTGTAAAGTTATAATGGGATGAGGTCTGAAAAAACCCTATCCAACAATATGCAGCACTCAGTAGGAGCTCAGTACACAGAAGTATCCAAATAAATAGAATATCAAAGCTGGAGACACTGTTGAGGTCTCTTTGACTGATGATGGGAGAGTTGTGAAGACAGAAAATGTGTCACATTTTAGAGGTCAGACTTACAGGTCTACTCCTAGGATATAACACCAAGTTCTTCTCTAGATAATTACATGGACTCCAGAGGTTTACCATTTTAACGTACCCTCCTCCCCCTCGCACAAAAATAAGTGCCTCTTCACTCTCACCAGAGCCCAGACTTTCACTATGTCTGTGCAGGGGGCAGAAAACATAAATGGTGCAGAAATATCAGTTTTGAGTTAGTGTCTGTTTCTTCCCTGGGTTTCCACTGCTGAATTCAAAATCTGTAATTATCAAGGATGAAAACCACAACAAAGCCCTGATGAAAAGGACGGCTTCTAAGTTGTGTATATAGAGACTGTAGGAGACAGCCTTATTCCCTGAACTTTATAACCAATTCAATTAAAAGGAAAGATACTCTCTAGTAAATGGCCAAAAATTCCAAAAGAAGACAACGATTATGTCTCTATTCTTTAGATGCCTAACCAGTGCCTTAATCCGGTGAGGGAACTCAAATGCATGTCACTGAAGGAGTGGATGAGTAACTGAATACATATTCCGAAGGGGTATCAATGAGACCACGACTCACAGGTGTCTGTCACCTTCGCTGCTTCTGCAGAGTCCTGCTACTGTCTCAAAGTCAGTGTCCCACCCCCTACCCCCAAATTCATACGCTGGAACCTAATCCTCAACGTGGTGGTGTTTGGAGGTAGGACCTTTAGGCGATAATAAGGGATGGGTGCCTTTCTAAGAGTCTCCAGAGAGATTCCCCGCCCCTTTTCCACCACGTGAGGACACAGTAAAGAGAACCCCATACCAGATACCAAATGTGCCAGGACTCTCTTGGACTGCCCAGCCTCCAGAACCGTGAGAAATAAATTTGGTTGCTCATAAGCCACCGGTCTGTGTTATGTCTCTTATACATCACAATTGACTAAGACAAGTACCTCCCTGTGGCCACCCGCAATAGCCTAGGAGTTGAATCGATGTTCTCTTCATAGCGGGTCCTGCAGAAGGTATAAAAGTGAAGAGCCACGAAAGAAGGGTAGTTAGTAAAGCATCTTACATCCTCACATCCCTCCAGTAGTGGTTCCTAACATATGTTTGTATCGGCATCAACTCGGCAGTTTTTCTAAGTACCCAGAGAGAGGCCCCATCCAGCCCAGATTTAGTGATTCAGAGACCCAGGTGACTGTGATGCGTACGTATCCCCAAGGGAGAACTGTTGTTTGAGAGGCTGTCTGGGGATAGGAGCATTGCACCAAGTATGTGTGCCCAAATCCCTCCTGCTCCCTGGCAAGTATCATTAATTGGTTAGCATTATTACATCCATACTCACTGAAAATCTTTTAAAAAATAAAACTTGAAAAACTTTTTGGTAAACATGCATGACACGACATTTACCATTTTAAAGTATATAGTTCAGTGGCATAAAGTAGTCACACTATTGTGCATCACCATCCCCCATCTCCAGAACCTTCTCGTCTTCCCTAGCTGAAACCCAATGCACATTAATTCCTCATCCCCCCCCCTCCCCCAGCCACTGACAACCACCATTCTACTTTCTGTTTCTAGGAGCTGGACTATTCTAGGTACCTCACAGAAGTAGAATCACACCGGAGTTGTCCTTTCACTTAGCCGGTCTTTGAGGTTCATCCATGCTGTAGCATGCGTCAGAACTTCTTTCTTTTTTAGCACTGAATAATATCCCCCTCGCATGCACAGACCACACTTGTTTATCCTTTCATCCACTGATGGACACTTGGGTTGCTTCCACCTGTTGGTGTTCATGAATACTGACTGCCAAGAACTGGGGTGTACAAATAATCTATTCAAGCCCCTTGACTTGGCTTCTTTTGGGTATACACCCAGAAGGGGGAGCCGCTAGATCACATGGTAATTTTAATCTTTTGAAGAACTGCCAGACCATTCTGCCCAGAAGCTGCACCATTTTCCATTCTCACCAGCAACACATGAGGGTTTCAAGGTCTCCACATCCTTGCCGACACTTGTCATTGGCTGCTTGTGATAGTAGCCACCCTAATGGCAGTACCGGTACCCCCAGCCGAGCACGTTAGGCAGCCTATTACCATTTGATCAAAGGCGACCAACGAGGTGGCAGCCATTTGTTATTTCTAAACTGTGATCATGAGGTTCCTGTGCTTTTCGAAGTGAAATGACTAAGGACTTACCAGGTGGGGATGGTAAGCGTTATTGGGGTTGTATAGATGGCCAGTGGTCTAAACCCTGGGGTGGGGGAGAAAGGACACCAAGGGGGTGCTGGTCCGGAAGTGGCCGCGTGGTGGAGGCGAGGCCCGAGAGGGGCTCTGCTTGAAGAACTGAAGGAAATCTGAGACCAAGCCCAAGCACACCACCAAATCCAGCAACTAGGAGCATTGCCTCTGGTGGCAATGGGGTTTCTCTTCCTTCTCCTTATTCTGTTTCCATCCCTCTACTCTTTACTGTTCTATTGTCTATGAATCCATGATTTGAAAAATCCAGGTTTAAAAAAAAAAAGAAAAGAAAAAGAAAAATCCAGGTTTTGTAAAAATAAAAAAAAAAATGGGGGGGGGAATGGGATATGTACACTAAATGTCCATTATTTGCTTGCATGTGGATGAAATCCCTCTGCAAGTATACACATACACTAAGCACAGTGGGTGTTTGTGGTGGGGGTGGGCAGTGGGAATACAGGGGACGGGGTGGGAGATTTTTCTTTTTTATATATCCTTTCATATGTTGTTATTACATTTTCAACTGTGGAAATATTTTCCACCATCTTTCCAATGTCCATTCCTGAACTGCAGTGACCAGAAAGTTCCAGCCCCTTTCAGACTCCCTTGAAGCTGGGGATCGATAATAAGGTTCTGCCAAGTGGATGTGCTTTCATGAGTCGGAGTGGAAGATGGAAGTGGGTGAGTACCATCTTCCCGCTGCGTGGGGCTGTAGTTGTGGGCAAGCAAGACCATGGGTTTGAGAAGCAATTGTAGAGTAGGTGGTGTCAGCCGGACACTGTTCCAGGGCTCAGGGTCCAGCTTCCTGGGTGCTGCTACGAGGCACTTAACGGTGGTCACAGTGACTTCCTGATCTTATTTGCTGGTACCTGGATCACAGCTGCAGTGGTGTTTTTGACCTCAGTAGCTCCAGGAGCGGCCTCCTGACTACCTGAATTCCTGCTTAACGTTAAGCAAAGGTTGTACCTCCCCTGGCAGGTTGGTACCAGATCTTGCTGGAGGATTCTGCAAGTCACTCCTGCATTACCCACTAGGAGTTCACTCTCCTCGTCCTTCCAAGATTCTATGAACATCCAGTTCCTTATTAGTCCATTCTGCTTAAAAGACCTACTGTGGCTTCTATTTCCTATAATGGAATTGAAACGGAATATGAAATTACATATTAAAAATTATTAAATAATAAATAAAAGTCATCACTAAAAAAAAATTATCAGATTTCTTGAGGAGTGTGCCACCAAAAATGCTTGGTTTTTGTATTTAAAAAAATTTCCTGGGCGCCTGGGTGGCTCAGTCGGTGAAGCGGCTGCCTTCGGCTCAGGTCATGATCCCAGGGTCCTGGGATCGAGCCTCACATCGGGCTCCCTGCTCAGTGCGGAGCCTGCTTCTCCCTCTCCCGCTCCCCCTGCTTGTGTTCCCTCTCTCGCTGTGTCTCTCTCTGTGTCAAATAAATAAACAAAATCTTAAAAAAAAAAATTCTACCCTCTTTGTAAGTCATCACCTATTTAATGAGTACCTGTTGGCTTAAAGATGAGGTAATTTAATACTTAGATTAGAAATAACTGCCTATGAGTATGCGAGAAGTTTTGTGTGTGTGTGTGTATAAAGAGACAAGACACAATTTGTGTTTCCAGTAAAATCCTAGAAGACAAATTCAAATACTTCTTGTTCTTTGTTTTTATTTAACTCAAAAGAGCTAACAACAAAACATTTAAAAAATATCTCCCACACTTGAGTATTCAGTTATTTTTGGTTACAGAGTCCTCGCCTGTTTCCAGCATGAAGTAACACATCTATCACAAAGGTATCTCTCAAAGTCTACAGCAGGCTTTAAACCTGTATATTTAGATCCTGACCAAAAACCATGATTTAGTTATTCATTCTGAATCCCACACAGAAGCTTAGTAAAATGAATAACCATAAATAGGCTAGCTATTAATTAGTTTTTGACAAAATGCCTAAGTACAGCACGTACATAAAGTTTGCATATATGCTTTTGTCCTTTATTACTCAAAATATGAGTGTTAGTGAGATGTACAGTGGAGTTAGATCATTCACTGAGCTTACATTAATTCCATATAGGAGGTCAGCGAAAAGGAAACAATAAGGAAAATAACAATGAATCCCGTGACAATCCCACCAGTTTAATGAATGAGGGAACCCTGATGACGGCTGAAGAACCTTGAGGAAACCAAGTGACCACTGTGGCGTCTCCTCGGGTACAGTCAGTTCACATCTGTCTCTCAGAAGACAAGCATCTTGCAGGACGAAGGGTGATTCTAGTGTTGAAACGTATGTGGTTCTCTACAAAATTGCCCTAAACGGACACCAACAACGTCAAACGGTCTTCAACGGAAGAGACAGTCCTTTCTTCCAACACCGGAGGAAAATCTGGTTGTGTTGGACGCACAGACTTCCAATAGGGCGCCTTCTGAAATGGCTGTCAAGGGGAGCCTCCCTACTCCATTTTATCTCGTGTCCTGACACTAGAAGCTAATCCCTAGGTATGATGCGACTCCACTGCAGTGTGAACAGCGATGACAAGATTTTTAAAAATGCCCTAACGCTGTCAGCATCGTTTAATTTCCAGTTTAGTTCCGACTCACATTTAGCACGGTGTGTTATCTGTGATATTCCCATGGTGCCAGGACGTAAGACAGTTATCTATCACTGACCGAGAAACTCTCACGATGAAAAGATCAGTGTCTCCTAAAACCTGAACAACAACAACAGCAAGCTACCAAAGTAGATCAGTCTCAGTGTGATTCAGGATAAGATGTTCAATTAGCAAATGGTGCAACTAAAGCAGAGAGTAACTTTTGTTTTGTTACACTTGCTGCTCCCAGTATCTTCTATAGTTTCGAAACTGGCAGCTACCTTCTACTTCTCAAACACTTGGCCTTAACCTCAGCACCACCCTGGTCAGTTTCTATTTTTAAAAGCACCATTCTAATGGAAATGTCCCTGCCCTGAATTAAGCTGGGACTGTGAATTTTACCACTAGCTAGAGCTGTTACGTCATAGAGTTTAGGTTAATTTGGTACGTATCGATTTCCGTGAAACCTGCTTCGGCTTCTTCTAGCCATGGAGGATTTCTACCTGGGCTGCAGATGGGGGTAAAATATCCCATGGAGGACTCCTTCAATAACCACATTTGGAAAATCTGAAAAACAAAAGGAAAACGGCTTTTCTTAGGCACAGCAATAAAACGCAACTGCATTTTGCAGACTTGAACAAGGCGAGGCCCCTCGTAACTTAGGGACCCGCATCACCGTGCAGCCTGCTCTTGTTGAGGACGCGCTATCTGTCATGTCGCCTCAGCCGAAAGCCACTTCAGTGCACGACCAGGCGCTGCAGGAATGCACGGCCAGATTTGTAGCTTATTGATTTAAGGGATGTTCTAATGGTTAATGCTGCTAGGCCCCAGCTCTTTATCTGAATGTTTTCTCACAAGGAAGATGGATTACACTGGCAATTCAATTTCTAACAAAATCTCAATATACTTGAAGGGATTCCAAGATTTCTACTGGGAATACTTGGCTGCAGTTTTTCCATTGTGGTTTACAGCAGTGTTTAGTCCAAGTTGTCTTGAGGATGATCGTTTTGTTGCACGAGCTTCCAGGGAGCGGGAGGAATGGGGACCATCTTCCTAACTTAAAAGGGCACATTTCTGACAAAAACCATCCTGTCAAACTGGCAAAATCAGCCACATTTTTAGAGGAGATACAAAGGAAACCCAGAGGTGTGCATCCGCCATGGTGCATTCCAGTTATCAGAGCATGTAAAATATGAACGGATACCTTGCACTGGGGGACCCCATCCATCACACGGCCCAGAGGTTCAATTTCTCAACTTCAATCTGCACATAATTATATCCAGGATTTACGTGAAAGCCCACCACTTTCAATAAATATAGTTATTAGGTAAGGAAATTAGTTGGTCCAATACTTTCAGACAGAAACTAGTATGTTCACTTATTAATCCAACCTCCATAGAGTACCTACTACGTAAAGCCACTCGCAAGGGAGGGCAGAAAGGCTCTTGGAGGAGCGGACCAGCTGGCAAGGCTGCGGGAGGAGGGAGCCAGGAAGGTTCAAAGGCCGGAATGGAGGCCAGTGTAGACAGGGAGGGAGGGAGAAGGCCTGAGGGCCGGAGGACCCAGGCAAGCCCAGGAAGTGAGAACTCCTGAAGGGTTTTAAGCAGAGTGACACAGAACTGAATCGTGTTTGGAAAAGATAGCTCTGGCTGTCATTCAAGGTACACGGGGACAAATTCAAAGTGGTGGTGGGTTCCCCGTGACGAGTGAGGGATTTCGTAACAGTACCTGCCTGGAAGGTTGTTGTACAAACTGGAGGGTAAAACAAAGCGCTTGCACCTGACCTGGGCACATGGTAAGTACTGGCTACCATCACGTACCAAGTATGGTCTAATTACTGGGAATGTAAGTAAGTAACAGGCCCCGTCCACACCAGGGAACTTCCATGCTAGTCAGAGACACAAGCAAATGAATACACCAACAAAATACGCTTTAAAAATATCTCCAGTACGTGAGCAACTCAATTACTTTTGGGTGATGACACTCGATTTCTTAGTGTTTGCTTTTATCCAGCATGAAACAACATAATTTTCCACAAACATACCTTTAATAATCTGTGATAGGACTTAAATCTACATATTTTGAACGCAATCAAGAGCAATGATTTTGCTAAGTTCATTTTAATTCTAAAAGTATTTCTCCCCCCACAGAAGTGTACTGAAACCAAGAGCCATCAATGGAGATATTGATCAATTCTCAATTAAATGCCCAAACAGAACACATTAACATGCTTTATTAGCATTTGGGCATTTATCCCTTGCTACCCAAAATATAAAAGTTTATTTGAAGGTTAGTGAAATTACATCATCAGCATATTCAGCTTAAATGGATTTAAGTAAGTTCAGCAAAAGGGACAAAAAGGGGAAATACTATTAATTACTCAGTAATGCTACATCGCCTGAAGAGGTCAAGCAGTAGTTTAAAGGCAAGGGGAGGGGTGCCTGGGTGGCTCAGTCGGTTAAGCGTCTGACTCTTGATAGCTCAGGTCATGATCCTGAGGTCGTGAGATGGAGCCCCCCCATCGGCCTCCATGCTCAGCACAGAGTCTGCTTGAGATTCTTTCTCTGTCCCTCTCCCTCTGCCCCTCCCCCTGCTTGAGCATGCTCTCTCTCCCTCTGTCTCCCAAATAAATAAATAAATCTTTAAAAAAATAAATCAAGGCAAGGGGAAAATTGAAGTAGGGCACAGGGCTTGAGGGTGAGGGGACAGGAAGGTGAGGAAAGACCTCTGTGGGCAGGTACTGTGGGAATGAGGGTGCAGCGGCCACCCGCCAGGGTGTCCGGGCGAGGAGCATTCCCAGCAGAGGGAAGATGGCAGGCCACGGTGCTGTGTTTATGGTCCAGCAAGTGCTGAACATGCGCCAGAGGCTGGAGATTCAGAAGGTGAACACGACAGAAAGAAAAAGGGAACAGTGTGTGTGGTCACTACAGTAAAGGAAGCAAACGGGGGGACTCTGATCGAAGTGAATGGAACAGAGAGGTGTTTTATAACAAGGTCCACCAATCAGGGACCAACGAGAAGATTATCAGAGGTCATTTTTTTCCTCAATTGGTTCCACTCCATTCTACACTTTGAATTTCGGCTTCATCATACATAGGATTTTCATTCAATGCCCATTAGTGTTTGAATGCTGCCCCCGCCTTTGTTTCCCATTGAGAGTGGATGATTTAGCAAAGGTCTGTCATTTTTGTTAGTTCTCATTTTTTTGGTCAACATTTACTGTGGACCTTAAAAAAAAAAAAGGCAATGGGATTGGCGGAAGGGGGAACTCTTAAGGGGCCCTTGAGAGCAGAGCAGGCAAAGGCTCTCTCAAGCTGCGCCCGGAAGATGCAGAGGCAGCACCGTGTGGAGACAAGAAGAGAGCTCCCGGGGGTGGGAGGGGGAACAACAGTGCCCTGGGTGTGTGTGGGGGGGATGGACCGCACACCTCAGAGGCCCAGAAAGAACTCAGGGTGCATGCGGCAGAGCGTGGAAGGGGCTCCTCTTAGAAACAGGAGCAGGGGCCGGAGCATCAAGGGCCGTGAGAGCCTCATAGGAGTCAAAGCTCAGAGAGAGAGGGTGGGGATGGAAACCCAAGACTGTGTCTCAGCTGTATACACAAGGTCATCAAGACCACAAGCAAGGAGATCATCCAAAAGAAAGCAAAGGAAAAGACAAGAGGATCTATGATAGCCCGCCGGTGGGCTGCCAGGGATGGGAAGAAAAGCGGGAGAGAGGGAAAGCGCAGGGGAGACCATGGATGAAAGCGGAGAGAATGGTTGAGATGGTGGCCGAAGCTGATGGGAGGTCTGATGAAAGCTGATGAAAAACATCCAGAGTGTAGCCAATGCTGCAGATGCTGGGGACCAGGGCAAGAGCTGTTGTGCATTCCCCTGAGAAATCCAAACTGAGGCCAAAAAGCGTATGTTCAGAGAAGACTGATTATTAGCATTTTATAAGAGGATAGTGTCTGCCTCTGGAGGAGTACCCTCCACTTTTGCTAAGAGGCCTAAATAACACAGAAATGTGATGCCAGTAAAATTTATCTCTCATTTAAATGCTAAAGATCTGCAAGAGCCTATCAGCAGCTCATACTTGTAAGATAACGGGAATCCGATTTATGAAGGTGGGTTGGCCAAACTGCACAAAAACAGATCCGGTGACGGGCCCTCCCATACCTGGTGCCATCCTGTCCATAAAACACGTGATTTCCGTGTCCTCTTCAAACGGCAATCTCCCATTTGCACAAGTCATCCGTCCACGCCAACGTTTTACCAACAATACACACTTTTACCCTCTCTAGCTCCAGATATTTGCCCCTGAAGTTCTTTCCCCCTCAAAGTTCCTCCTGTTCTTTGTTGCCCAACCAGGTGCACAGATCATAAAACATCTTCCCTCTTCCACTAAGCACCCTGGCTAAGATCACAACGATCATTCCATTCTCCACACATCCACAGGAGTGTCATCGGTCCAATGCATGAAATTTCTGACCATCCACAATACCTGGAAAAAGTACTTGTAGAACCACGTTCAGAAGATAAAAAGAATGCTTTAGAGAACGCTGCCTATTTCCTCTAGCCTAGATTACATGATGCGTATCTGTTAACTGTAACATTTTGTTAACCTAATGTCAACTAATATAATACACATTTTTTTAAAAACACAGGAAGCAAATGCTAGACAAAGGCAATCATTCCTCACTGAAAGAACTGTATAGGGAAAATACTCTAAGAACGTATTCCTATATAGCAAAGGCGGCTCTCTCCGATCAGGGCGCCAGGAATGGTCCATCCATGGAGCCGGGCTGGGTCCTGGCCGTCCCTCTTTACTCTGCCAGCTAAGTCACTGATCTCAGGACACACACTGCTGCCACAGAACGGTCCCCTCCTCTTGCCGGTGATAAGGTTTTATTGTCAGAATGTAGGAACAGTTTCAACAGATAATTTATCTACTGCTATTGAGTTGCTATGCTATTTAGTTACTCCCAGGAACAAGGGCTGAACATTCACTCTACATAAAGAGCGCACAAGGAGAAATTAGGCACCAAGGGGTCTGCCCATCAGCCATGTGACACCGGGCAAGTCAGGGACCTCCTCAGGCCCCCATTCTCTCATTAGCCAATGAGGATACCTGCCCTGCCTATTACATGGGGCTGTTAAAAAAAATTAGATGGGAAAACGTCTGACAATGTACTCATGAAGAGGTGTAGAGCAGACCATTTGGGGAGGGACTCTGAGGAATTTAAATTTCTTGGCACAAAGAAAGGACCCAGGCTAAAATATTGATTACACTTATGCATAAATTCATTATATTTAAGTATATAACTCCTAAAAATACACATTTGATCATCTGAGATGCTATAACCTAAATGGAAGTAAAGATACACATGTAACATACATACACCGCTTTGGGGGAAAAAAGCATTTCAAAAAAAAAAAAAAAAGAACCAGAGCCTTGGAATCAAACCTTAACATCTGGATAAAAACAAGCAGAGACCAAAATATAACACCACCAAAAACAAACAAACAAAGAAAAGACAATGAGTATCGTTCCTCCTTATTACTCTAATTCAAAACTGCCTGGTACGGTAGAAAGAAAAATTACATTTCGTGCTGAAAGGCCTGCCCCAATTAAAATTCTGAATGTCTCTTACACCAAGAGCACTGGTTTATTGGCAGATTATTAAGCCCTGGACCAATGTCACTCTGTTAGACCTGTATTAAAAACGTGGTTTATGTGGTGCAGGGTCAGATCAGTAAAGAGCTGTTAGCCGATGACAGGTTTGATTACCGCCGGCTGCAGGCAAGACGTATGGATCCCTGAGGAACAGCAGTACCGGCTGGTGGGACAGTTTGCTGGAAAGGTCAAGAACAGGCATGTCAGCATCAGGGGACGACGGTAAACAGAAAACACGACAAACTAGCTTTGAGGGGATCAAACTGCTGTGTGGGGACATCTCAAGGTTTATGTATCTAACCGTGTGGGTGACTAATAGCGAGCAGAGTTACAGGGAACGAACCAGCACTGTGCTCACCTTCTCAACATTTCTTTGTGGAATCTGAAACAGATATACAATCTATATGATAAATCATTGCTGAAAAGTGCTGGGTTTTTTGTTTTTTGTCTTTTTTTAAAATCTCACAGCACAATTATTGATAAAATAGTATTCTTATTACTTGCACAAAACAATGTAGGGTTCTTATCCCTTCATTCCTAGATATAGCTGGTTACTTCTCTAACTTCCTATCAAATATTTATAAATTAATTGCCTAACAAATATTATCAAGAAGATCATGACTTGATACATTTATACCATAGTCATTAAAACTCAACAAAACCATAGTCCTATTCCTGGTTTTATATAACTCTTGATTGACTAGTGTTAGTTCTTACCTTGATTCTTCAGATTCCGTCTCATCAAAAGATCTAGAATTTTTTTAAAAGAAGAAGAGGAAGACCATGTAAGTTGGGGAAATGATGCTGCAAACCAAGGAAAAGAGAGCCAGTATTCTTAGAGCTCTGAATTGGGGAACATTTTGAAGAGAGAGCTGTCTTGACAACGTCACAGCATGACTGATGCCTCCTTCTAAAGAATCTTAAGACCACCATATTCTTGAACTTCAATTTTCCCGAAGATCACTTACACACCCTATGGTTTTACTTTCGGGCTTATATAATGGAGAAAAGATTTCACTCTGTCATTCCTAAAATCTCTTCTTAAAAACACCCCTGTATAGAGCACAACCTCCTAGCAAAGGCACTCAAGTCAGAACAGGACAGACGGACAATGCCTATTATTTGGAGAACACCCGTGCTCTCTGGGGTGAGTGGAGCGTGGCCTTGAGCAAACACTACCAGTGAGAGAGCTGGTGTCTGCAGCCTTCATCCTGAAGATGGCTGGGGTTTAACACACCTTTGGGTGTGGTCTGAGTGAACGTCTTGTAGCTAGTGTGCATCCTTCAGGAGGCTCTGGAGGCAACAAGAGGATGAACAAAACCCCTTCTCCTGCGTGGGTTTGCAGAGACTTTGTAATGATGTGTTTCTCTGTAAATGGATTTAATATGCCAGGGGTATTGCTGATGGCCTTTGGAGGCCAGCTCAACCTAAGTCGGGGGCCCAGAGCTGGCAAGTGGTTTCAGAGTTCATTCTTCAGAAGAACACTTCCCAATTGCTGATGATATCAAATGTCTGGTTCCTTGGTACACAGGGACTGGGATTTACAGCCCCGCATTAGAAGGTCCTGTGGGAGAGGCAACAGGACAGCAGGGAGAGAGAGCTCATGTGGGAAGTCCTGGGCTCTGCCAGCGACAAGGCGAGAGATTTTGGGAAAGACACTTAATTCCTGTGTCTCAGTTTGATCAGGTCAACAATAAGGGAGTCGGCTAAAATTACCTCCAAGGTCATTCACAGCTTTTAGATAATATGACTGCATATGCATGGCATATACGCTTTGCTCAAGTACCCACAAATAAATTTATTAGTCCCTCAATAGGCTATCTAGATTCATAAGTCCCATTACGTAACATCACTCCATGAAGCAGCATATTTTAAAAAGGCAGTTCCGTAAGTCTAAACCTGAGTTACTGAGCCTTGGTCATTTGGCAGCAATTTAGGGATGAGGACTGCAGAGGAATTCCTTTGACTACATGCAGGGGGCCAGTGAGTGCTGTCCCAGCAGAGAGAATGAGCGTGGCCAGGCTGCTCCTTCTAGCATCACTGGGGTTATTGGTTAGCCCAACAAGTGACTGCAGAGTAGCTTCAAATACATGTCCGATAGGTGAACAACACTTCTTACCCACAACTCTCTGCCTTTGGTAGCGAGGGCAAGTGTCGCACATTTAGGAAATCAAGGAAGAGTTTGGGAAGCTCTTCATTTTCCAAAATGACAGCCTGCAAAAGGAGAAAAGAGAACTTAGAAAGTGAAATTTACTAGGCAATCAATAATCAAATGAACTACGTCGAAAAGTCATGACTGCCCATCTAAGTTCTTACCAGCATCATTCTTCACAATCTGTAAGGGGTGGGGTGGTCCCTATTTCACCCACCAAGAATTCAGGGGACAGGCATGCTCTTCAGTGTCACCAAATACTCCATTTTATCTATCTCTCACCCAAAAAGCATTTATGGAGCATCTATTACACATCAGATGCTGACGAGGGGGGCAGACAGTGGGCCACCAGGTGGGCAGAACTCTTGCCTTCATGGAGATTCTGATTAGAGTATTTTAAAAACCTGGGAGCCTCAATAATTCTGCTAAGATATGTACATCAAATTTTCCTTACTGGGTGATAAAGTGGTCTGGGCATGTGTGTATGTGTGTGTCTACAAGAGACCACTACTGTTTAGAAAATACTACATGGCTTTTTTAACTGGAAGATTTAGCCAAGATCCCTCAGCTATCACCTCTTTTCGGCATTAGGATCAACTGACATTTATGGCCATTTGGACAGCTCCACTTAAAGGGTCAGTAACAACTTTACCACTAAGTGTAAATCAGTGTATATACAAAAAAAAAAAAAAGAAAGAAAAATCTATACGGTTCTTCCATTTAGGGAGCTCTGCTAAGGAGCTGGCATAATGGCATAACCATGTCCTTTCTCGGCCATCCGAATTACGCAAGTGCAAGGCGAAATCTAATGGAGAACAAGAGAGTGCATTTTCGTGGGTATCTATTTTTATAAAAAAGAGGGCCACAGGGTATGAACTGATGAAACAGTTGCCCCTCTCTCCCACCACCCTCCCCCCCCTTTGTTTTACAAAGACCATGGAAAAAACATCAAAGATTGTACGATAATCTCTGAAAGTAAGAGAATTATTTTCAAAGGTCATTGTTATCATTTACCATAGTCCTCCTCCCACATGTTGTTTAAAGAACAATGAGGAGGGATGGTGAAGTATTGCCCACATGGCTGATCAGGAATAGCTATGCAATGTGATGCATAAGGCGCAAATGACAAAAGGTCAAATGATGTATATTTTGAAATATGTAATTCTACGTAACATTGCTTTTTGTCATAATTTACATACTGAGTGGTCTCATTTCTAGCAGAGTTTTAAAACAGTTCCCCAGTTTAGGACATATGAATGGAATGAGCAAAGCAGGCTAAGCCCTGAGCTACACCAGCACTCAATCCTCCTGCTGTTCAGTTTCTTGAGAGGAGGCATCTGGAAACCCAGCCCTGTCTTGGTCTCTTCCTATTCCTTACATAGCTGCTTGTATCCACTGAGGCTTAAGGAAAGTAAACAGAAAGTAGGAAAACAAAAAATGCACAAAATAGAAAAAAGCTCCTCTTCCCAGAAGCATGCTTTCACTACTATTTTCAATGACCTTCTAAATTTTCATCTACTCAGGGAAATTTTGGGGGTGCCCATAAGGTCATTATTTCAGTGCCCAGAACTCAAAGGTTGTAAGGATCATCGTATATATGAAGCTCCAGGGAATTTTTGCCATAAAATAAGTTGTAATGATTATCTCCATGTTTCTAGATACCTGTTTAAGAGAATGACACAATACCTATTTAAATAATAAAGCTTGATGTTGTAACAAATACAGAGCTGATCACCCAGGCAATAGTTTTAATTACGTGTACAAGTGGTAGCTTTCAGATTAAAAAAAAAAAAAATGGTGGTGGGGGGGTTAACACTCTTATCTCCACCCCCACCTTTTAAAATAAATTAAATCAATAACAAGTGTGGGACACTTTTAATGACCTGAACTACTTAATTTCCAGGATCTTTAGACATGTCATCCATCATTGCAGTATGGAGGAAGACATCTCTTGAGTGTTCAGGGGGTTAGTTTGGTTTTATTAATGCAAGATTTAGGGAATTTTAACAAGGTGAATTGTTTATTTGCCTTGACAGATTGGCTTACAATGCACTGGATACAGCTACAGCATGATCATTAATGACAAAAGACAGGCAAAAAGCTGTTTACACTGCAACACCAGGACAGGAATTAATCCTGTCCAGCCTCCCCAAACAGAGCACTCCAAATGGATGATCACATTTTTAAAGGTAAGATATACTGGCAAAAAAAAAAAAATACAGAAAACTCCAGAAATTTGTGAGCATTTTTGTTAAATGTTCCCTGAAAATTCTCAAATATTTTTCATAAAAGAGTCACCAATATGGATTTCAGGACTTACAGTTGTAAAGAAAGTAGTGTTAGGGGGGTTAGTTAAGCATACCCCATGTTACATGGTGGCAAGATTTCCTAAACTCTGCTAAGAAGGCTTGTAAGAAAATCATTAATACTTAAGTCCAAACAGAGCTAGGGTGTCATATGGTAGAATTTACCTAATTTAATATGTACAAGAGAAATGACTGTCATTGATTAGTACAGAGATGTACAAAAGAAATTAGTTTAGTCAAATCTTTCGGTTCATACACACATGATCTCACTCTCTGAGAAACCCAAATGTGATGTGGGGCTGTTCCATTTACATCTCCTGTTTCTTTCTTTTTTTTAAGATTTTACTTATTTATTTATTTGAGAGAGACAGAGTGAGTGACAGAGAGCATGAGCAGGGAGGAGAGGAAGAAGCAGGCTCCCCGCTGAGCAGGGAGACTGACACAGGGCTCAATCCCAGGACCCTGGGATCATGACCTGAGCTGAAGGCAGACGGTCAACCGACTAAGTCACCTAGGCGCCCTATCTTCTCCTGTTTCTTGAGAAGCTTTCACTCAAGAAGATCCCTCCTTTTTATTTTTTATTTTTTAAAGATTTTATCCATTTATTTGACAGAGAGAGAGACACAGCGAGAGAGGGAACACAAGCAGGGGGAGTGGGAGAGGGAGAAGCAGACTTCCCGCGGAGCAGGGAGCCCGATGCGGGGCTCGATCCCAGGACCTGGAATCATGACCTGAGCTGAAGGCAGATGCTTAACAACTGAGCCACCCAGGCGCCCCGATCCCTCCTTTTTAAAGCTGAGCCCTGGTCCATTCCACCTTCTTGGGACCCCAGTCCGGCCTAACTACCCAACTTTATTCAACAGGTAAATAAATATATTTAAACATATAATAAATAAATAATTTTTATATAAATAAATATATAAAAATAGATATAAATTACATTTTGAATATCAAATCATATTTCCCCATTGTTTTAGCTTGCTTACCATGATTTTTGGTTAATCCTCAATGGTTAGTCATTTCCACTTTTTAGAGAGGCAAGACGGTGTGGTAGGAAGTATGGAGCTTTGGAGCCAGAGCTGGGTTCCAACACCCCCTGGCTACCTCATGGGGTTAGTGTGAGGATAAGTTGATGTCCTCAAGAGTCTCTGGTGCACGATTAGCATTCAATAAATGTTCACTGTTTCCTTACAATCTCTTCGTTCTATCAATCCCGAACAGCCTATTTTATCGGTTTTGGAAGTTTGGATTATTGTCCATCCAGCAAACAGGGCTTCTTAACCCTCTATGATTCATGGATCCTTTTGAAAAATGGATAAAAGCGGAGAATCTCGCTTGCTGAAAAATATGCATCCATATATAATTGTGCTGACAGTGGCAGGGGGTTTGAGGCCCCTGACAGCCCGCCAAGGACACCTGCTTTTAGCTCCAATGTGGCAGTGATGCTGCTGGGGACACTCTTCATTTGGCCTGGCGCCTGAAGCCCTTGCTGTCGGCCTGTGCTGTATACCAGCTCCCCAAAGGACGCGCTGGCCTTCCCGTTTTAGTTTTCTACCTCTTGGTCAATTACAACCCCTCCGGAGTGTGTGCTGCCTTGGGATTGGAATTCATTAGTGCTTTCAGCTCTGGGCTGTGCTTGAAAATATTTGTCTGGCAGGGAGGTTACCGGGCTGCAGGATTCTTTCTGGTAGGTCAAAATCTACTACTGCACTGAATTTAGACAGTCAATCATATTCATGGCTTCCGTGCCTTCCATATGAAATTCTAGAATTTAACAACCTGTAAGGTTGATGGTTCCCAAAGTTAGCAAAACATGGAGGAAAATGTTATTTAAAGTCTTATTTAAACTCTGCTGGGTCAAAGTCCAGCTAAGGAGGCACGAGAACCCAACATTTGTTAGGAAAGGAGCATTTTGAAATGCAGGGCAGTGATGGGTCCCAGACTATCTAATCAATTAACTAATAACTCTGATGGTAGAGTTCCGACCCTAGGTCCAACTTTGGACACATGGCTGGGCAACCAATTTATAGAGTAAAACATCAGAATTCATAATGAATATGACAAATTAGAGAAAAGAATCAGAAAAAATCCCACTAAATTTTACAGGTGTAAGGACTGAGTCAAATACTACATGAGGCAGAATTAAGTACCCAGATGTAGGATGAAGAGTAGCTGTTTATATACAAGTGCTGTTGGTCTCAAGTGGTAGGTCAGCAAGAAGTGTTGTTTCCAGAAGGTTTAAAAAAATGAGCTGAGCAATCCTCTTGGCTCCACTTAATGCAATATTATCTAGCCCCCAAAGAAAGAGAAATAAGAATAAATGCAGAAAGGCCTACAGGGGAGCAATGAAAATGAACAGAAGATTCAAAATAGTTTCTATTAGGTCACCCAATAGCAGGTACCGAGCATGGAATGAGGTGTTGTAGGGCCCAGGAGTCTGGTTGTTTAGTTAACTAAATTTTTTTTTTAAAGATTTTTATTTATTTATTTGACAGAGAGAGACAGTGAGAGTGGGAACACAAGCAGGAGGAGTGGGAGAGGGAGAAGCAGGCTTCCTGCAGAGCAGGGAGCCTGATGCAGGGCTCGATCCCAGGACCCTGAGATCATGATCTGAGCCGAAGGCAGACGCTTAATGACTGAGCCACCCAGGAACCCCTAACTAATGTTTTTTTAAGGAGGGTAGAGATTTTCAAAGCTGTTGGAACAGTAGGAAAGGACTGTCCTAACCAGCAGAGAAGGTGTCTATCTCTAATTGA